GATGTCTATTGAGGACAGTAGGAAGTTGTACAACAAATGGAAACACTACATGATTTGTAGGTGTGAAAGTGATAACATGTTTGAGCATTGAAAGTGGAATTGATGTAACATACTTTTGCTTCCGCTGTGTGATGAGACACCTAGCTAACAGGTGGGAAGCTTCACTTTTGTCATTCACTGCATGCACTGCTAGTAATACGAAGTCATGTCAGAGCTTACTGAGCTTCAAAGAGGGCAAATTGCTGGTGCCTGCTTAGCTGGTGCCTCTGTGACTGAAGTTGTCAATTTATTTTCTGTGACACGAGGTATAGTATCAAATGTAATGACAGCATATATAGTTTCCAGGAAAACTTTGTCTCAAAGAGACAAAAGGACATTGCGCAGGATTGTGACCCAGAATAAGAAAACAACTGCTGCAAAAGTGATGGGAAAGTCTTCATGGGACTGAGATTGAGCTCTGCAGTTGCATTGGGTGGAGCCTGTGACGTCATACCGCTACCAGGAAGTGTCTGGGCAACCATTTTTTTAGGGTTATTCTATATAAAATTGCATGATACTGCAGTGCACTGGTGTTTAGTGCACTTTTTAGGTTAAGTATATATATTTTTTAAATAAAATAACTTACTGGAAGCAGAGAGCAGTATTTATTATAGGTACTTATATAGCGCTGTGAGTTTATGCAGTGCTTTACACATATATTGTACATTCACATCGGTCCCTAACCCTCAAGGGGCATACAATCTAAGGTCCCTAACTCACATTCATACATACACATACTAAGGCCAATTTAGACAGGAGCCAATGAACCTACCAGCATCTACCAGCATGTCTTTGGAGTGTGGGAGGAAACTGGAGGAAACCCACACAGGCAGAACATGCAAACTCCAGGCAGATGGTGCTGTGGTTGGGATTTGGACCAACAACCATAATACTGACAGGCAGAAGTGCTAACCATTTAGCCACTGTGCTGCCCTGTATGTACTGTTCCTCTTTTATGAGTTTTATATTGCCTTGGTTCAAAGCACTATGGAGGCAAAAACTGGAATGTGAGGCTTCTGGATGCTGGAGTGGAGATCATTGGTGTGGATTATAAGAATCTCATTTAAAAGGTAAGGCACATTTGACCTAGTTCAAGAAACGTAGGCACACTGTCTCTTAAACATTCCAAAGTGCAAATGTGCATACAATATAACCATATCAAACCTAGCCTTCATCAAATAATGCCTCTTTCCTCTGAAGATGCTGTTTACAGTGAAACTCTTTAGGGCGGCGCCGAACACTTGACGTTATCACGCACTCTGGTGGGAATACAGCGGTGCTCCTCTTATGTTACATGCCTGTGATTGTCTTCTTATTGTAAGTACATTACCATATTAAAAGCCCTTGGTTTTAACATACTGCACTATGGTGGTCCCTTCTTGCTTTTAACTCCCCTGTGCCAAGCACACTTATACAGGATCCTATCTAGATGGAGTGGTGTGTCTGAATATTTTGTGCTGTGGGACAGCAAGGTGTTTTATGACCCCTATGTGGTAAGGAATTCACCTTACTGTACATGTCGGTGGTATGATTTTCTGGCACCCTCTATTCTTGCTGTACTGAATGCTCTCCATCTCACACTTTGAAGTGTGTCTTCTTTTTCTTTGGGATTTTCCATCTTGATTTTCGACTGTTCACCAGGATATGTATCCATTTGTACGGACATTTTGCATGTTTGTCTGCTTTATTTATCTTTATTATCTTTGTTTGCAATATTGAATAACATATTTTTATTTATACTTGTTTGTTTATAATTGCCTTAATGTACATTTGTCCATCCGTATGTACATATACTTCTTTATGTTTTATTGGGTTATATTATATACACCCTAAAGTTTGAGTGTTTTTGTTATATTTAAGCATCTAGTTTATCATTGCCCATATACACATTTGTCCATCTGTACGGATATATACTCTTTTATGTTTATCTTTATTTTGAAAGTAGAGTTTGGTGTAATATTATTTCTATTATTATTAATAATAATAATTTAGAGGATTTATATAGCGCCAACAGTTTACACATCACTTTACAACATAAGGGCAGACAGTACAATTGTAATACAAATGCATACAGGAGGGATCAGAGCTCGTTCGAGCTTACAATCTAAGAGGGGGGGTCAATTGATACAAAAAGTAATCAAGATGGGCCTCTCTGAAGAGATTGAGTTTTTAGGGATCATCTAAAAGTAGTAGATAGTCAGAAACATTGGAAAGGGAGTTCCAGAGGACTGGAGTGGCTCTGGAGAAGTCCTGGAGGCGAGCATGGGAGGAGGTGACAAAGGAGCTAGAGAGCAGGAGCAGGGAGGAACAAAGAGAATGATTTGGTTGGTATTTTGAGACAAGGTTAGTGACGTAGCTGGGGGCTGACTTGTAGATGGCTTTATAAGCTGTTGTAAGTATCTTGAATTTAATTAATTGGGTGAGCGGATGCCAGTGGAGAGATTGGCAGAATTAGGAAGTAAAATTGTAAGCAACACTGAAGGTGCGGTGGGACAGGTAGGATGAGAACCAATGAAGGGTACAGTCACTTTAATGTTTGAATGCTTTTTAGGTATACGGCACAATTTTATTTGTGTGTATATTTTATTTTCAATTTGTTTAGGTTATTGCATGTATTGAGTTTACACTATTATTATTTCCCTATAAAATAATATGGTTTGAAATAGTTATATTGTATGCACAATTGCACTTTGGAATTTTTAAAAGACAGCGCGCCCACTTTTCTTGACGTAGTTGTTTTTTAGATCTAGTATCTAGATTGTATAGTGGATGTAGCAGTCTTTATTTATATTCTTTTTTTGCTAGTGCAAGGAAATTATTTGGTTAGTTTTTACTGCATTTGACCTTATACATGTTAGGGCTAGTTATAAGGCGTACATGCATTGTGGTGATGGGATATGCTCTTTGGCTGAACTATATAATATAAAACATTGGTGGAAGTGTGAAGATACAGGAATAAGAAGACGTTTGAAGGCTTTTTGATGCATCTGGAGAACACGTTTAATAAGAAATATTTAAAGTGGTACATATGGACAAATTGGGTACACATGGACATTATCTCATTATTTTTTGGTTAATAACAAGGTGTGAAGTACTAATGATGTATCTTGAGAACACGTTCAATAAGGAAAATTTAAAGTGGTATACTGACAAATGGGTACACATGGACATTTTTTTTTTTTACTTATTTTAAAGATATTGGGTGAATTTAAAGGAGTATCTACACGGATTAACTTGTCTTTTTGTTTTTCACTTTATTTAATTAATGTAAGAAGTTTGTTATGTGGTTTTAGTTTATACACTCTGGGTAAATACTGCGTGGCACTGGTTTACGTATATTTATATTTCTTTATCTTGTGGGAACATGTGTGTGAGCAGGGGTACATACTTTTTATATGGTTTATGTTTTGAATAATATTATTTAGGGGACTGATTGCGCTTGGGCATTGTTTGTTGTTTTTTGGGAAGCAAAAGAGTGTTACATCACTCCCACTTTCAACGCGAAACGTAATCACTTTCACACTGCAAATCATGTAGTGTTTCCATTTATTTGTCCAACCCCTGTATTTCTAAAAAATATATGTTTTCAGTACTTACCCAGATCAGTTCTCACATCTGATTACCCTTTATGGACTACAGCAATTTTTACTGTCCTGTTAAGAGCCTATTGCTTTGTGAAAGATGGTTTATTTTTGATGATATGTCTTGCATTCATTATTTTTTACTTTAAATATAGAGACAAAAAATTGACTTCTGATTATTGTTAGTTTTTACACAACTGATGTTACTTTAGATAAAAAGTGTAATTTATTTTCTATATCTTGTGTAACCTATATTGATTCTAAAATTGTGATTCTGTTACAAAGCATTGCAAATGTTTTTAATGTTTTTAAGTTAACGAACAAATGGGATGAAAATGAAAATAAATGTAACAATATCAATGGTTCAAAAATAGAATTTTGTTTTTTTTTTAAATTAAGAGAAAAATATGTGTAACTAAGGAGAGACAAAGTAGGAGTTAATTAGGAATGATTAGCATTAACTAAGGGTTAATATAGTGTTAAATAAACAAATTGTATGCATTTTTTCACTTAAATTGTTTTGACTGTTATTATAAGGAGATCGTCTGTCACCTCTTTGATTAATGAAGAGTGCATATCATGTAGCAATGTTGTTGCATCGTATTTCTGAATAAACCTCTGAACAGTTCGCAGACAACTGTTCAGAAGTTCCCTGTTACATAGTAGGTACTGCAGACACTGTTGTGATAATGAGCAAGTCCATACTGTCATTTTGACAGCTGGAATTTTCAAGCAAGAGCAGCAGGTGGAGCACCAACAGGGGGAGAGGGACAGGGCATATGATGTATGTCCTGAGTACTTAGTAATTACTGATTTCTTTTTCAATGGTGTTTATTAAAGTTTTGCAAAACATGAAACAGTTGTACAATGTTGAAAGCATAAGAAAGTAAGGTGGATCACAAGGCATAACAATTCATACAGTATTCGTACTACAGAAAGCATGCCTAGTATTGCATCAAACATTAACAACAAACGGTACCAGGGGTTTAGAGATATTTATTTATTACAGGTACATATTTAGCGCCGTCAATTTAGGCAGCACGTTACATACACTATATTGTTAAACATATTGGGATGCTTGCCTTTGTACGTACATGAACTTTAAGGGCATTCCAGTCTCAGTCCATAGGGTCCAATATTGAGTTGGCTCACCCTTTGCAGCTATGACCATTCTTCTAGAAGTGTATTTGTGAGGTCAGGCACTGATGTTGGATGAGAAGGCCCGGCTCACAGTCTCCACTCTAATTCATCCCAAAGGTGGTCTGTCAGGTTAAAGGCAGGACTCTGTGCAAGCCAGTCAAGTTCCTCCATCCCAAACTTGCTCATCTATGTCTTTATGGACCTTGCTTTGTGTACTGATGTGCAGTCATGTTGGAACAGGAAGGGGCCATCCCCAAACTGTTCCCACAAAGTTGGGAGCATGAAATTGTCCAAAATGTCTTGGTATGGTGATGCCTTAAGAGTTCCCTTCACTGGAACCCAACCCTTGAAAAACAACCCCACACCATAATCCCCCCTCCACCAAACGTTATACTTGGCACAATGCAGTCAGGCAAGTACCATTCACCTGGCAACCGCCAAACCCAGACATGTCCATCGGATTGCCAGACAGAGAAGCATGATTCGTCACTCCAGAGAACACATCTCCACTGCTCTAGAGTCCAGTGCTTCACACCACTGCATCCGACGCTTCGCATTGCATTTGGGGATGTAAGGCTTGGATGCAGCAGCTCAGCCATGGAAACCCATTCCATGAAGCTCTCTATTCACTGTTGTTGTGCTAATCTGAAGGCCACATGAAGTTTGGAGCTCTTTAGCTGTTGGCAAGTTCCGTGCACTTCAGCATGCGCTGACCCCGTTCTGTCATTTTACGTGGCCTATCACTTCGTGACTGAGTTTCTGTTGTTCCCAGTTGCTTCCACTTTGTTATAATACCATTAACAGTTGACCGTGGAATATTTAGTAGCAAGAAAAGTTCAAGGATGGAGTTAATGCACAGGAGGCAACCTATCATGGTACCACACTTGAATTCACAGAGCTCCTACAAGCATGTCTTTAGGGTGTGGGAGGAAACACACACAGACACAGGGAGAACATACAAACTTCAGGCAGGTGGTACCGTGGTTGGGTTTCAAACCAATAACCCTAGTGCTGCAAGGTGGAGAAGTGTTAACCATTTAGCTACTGTGCTGCCCGTGTTATGATAAGATATGACAACAAGGTCCAAATTACACCACTGTAACTCCGAAAGAAATACAGATGCATGTTCCTCATCAAACTGTAATTACTGATTCCAGCTATGCACTAGTTTTGTTTGTGATAGTGAACTGAACATTTGCATGAGAAAAAGTAAGGTAAATTAAAGAACGTAGAACAATTTATCAGTGTTGATGAAATTACCCTACTGCATTGGTTAAGGAAGTTGAGCAATAAGGTGACTGCTGCAGACTCTCCTAAATAAACATTTGTATAAAGGTAAGCCAGCAGAAAGTGTAAATAACAAAAAAAAATTACTCATAGGTAAATATTCTATATTTAGCTATAAGTTTTCTAATAAAACATTTGCATATGTAAAATTTAGTATGTCCTATTTTTATTCATAGCTTCTAGGTATGAATAAAAGTGATCTGTTTTAAATATGTGCTAAAATGCGTGTTTTTTATTATGTGATAATGTGAACAAAGGTAAATATTTAATTAGAAGTGAAAGGTTCAACAAAGAGATCTATATAGGCTTCTGCAACATCTCTAGCAGAGAAAATATTAAAGTACACAGTTTTATAAATGATCATTAAAACTGTATTAGCCACCAGAATTTCTCCGTAGCTCTGAATGTAACTATAGTGCTGCGTAATTTCAGTAGCTGATTTTCCTTCTCATTCTTATCTGGCTGTATTATCTAGAAAACAGCTGGTTGCTAATGCTGCATCTGCTGTTCCACTCATGAAAACATGCATGTCCTGCTGAGCAAGGGCATGGGGTAAAGATCAGCAATGTTATATAAGATATTTCAAATCCCGCAGCAATAAAACGAGTGCTGGTGCTGTGACAATCTTTAAATCCTTCATTGATCTCATTAAACAACAGGGATTCGTCAGAGACGGTGATACATGACCATAAATGTAATAAAGTGTAAATACATAAGCAAGAAAAAAAATGTCTAATGTTTACTAAATCATGCAGCTGGCTTAAGTAAAGTTAGGACAACCAATAATTAAACTCCTTTAATAAATGTTTTGCTCTACATTCAACAATGTTATCAAGACTCAGGACTTTCATGGTTTCATGGTTTGCTACTGTAGCTCTCTTTAACTTTTACTAAAAGCTTTACTAAAAACTTTTACCTGCATTCACTATAGCTGGTACACAGAACATGAAAATGCAATTATTTTAGTAAACATAAACTGCTAAATACCTCTTCTCATCAGCAGTTAAAGCAGTCTTGTGACTTCTATCAGTGTTCAGAAGAGCATTGGATAAAGCTTGTAGAAGGAGTTTTATTTCTGCTCTAGGAGGATGTATAACCCCTGAACTCTGTCTGGACAGTGCTGATTGACCCTGTGCTGATCACATGCACACTCTCAAGAAAAATAAAAAAAAACTCTCTAGCAATACACACCACACTGATCATGTACAGAGTGTCTCCACATGATATGTCTTATCAGGAGATAAAAGGGGGACACTGGGGGAAAGGGAGGATCAGAGAAGTTAGGATCAAACAGCATTTTTACATAATGCAGAAGAATAACCCCTTACGTTCCACAGTGAGTATAACAAGCATTCTTTACTGCATATACAGACTGATTTTACTGTTGTGGGTTTAGTAACACTTTAAGGCAGCTATACATGGATTTAAATTTGGCTGGTTCAGCAAGAACTGGTCGAATTTCGATCTATGTATGAGCAGGCTGGCTGTGCAGAAGTTGATCCAATCAACTTTTATACAACCAGCCTGTCAGGTTTTTCCCAAACAATCAGAGCCACCAGCCATAACCAGCAACACTGATCAGTTTGTTGTGACAGTGGGGAAGAATGTATTGTCCAGTTTCAACTTCTCAGTCGCCTGAATTCTAATTTATCTTGGTGGATATATTTCTTCATTGCTGTTGATTATTTGTAATTCAAGAAAGCAGTTTTTGATCCTTGATGAAATAAGTATCTTCTGAAGAGATTTTTTTTTTTTTCTTGTAGAAGGCAAAGGGGCACTTAGCCCCACTGACATTGAAAAAGAATGGCGCCAGAGAGCTGCATGATGCCTCGATGTTGATGCAAAAGGTTTTTTATCACTTCCAGTCTTATTTGGCAGAGCCAGAGAGAAAGGCTCAGTTCCATATGTGATAGTCTTCAAATGCATCCAAAGGCCTGGGTTTTTGGAGTCAGTATCTTTCTGTGTGAGAGCGGTCAAGGGAACAACAAGAACTGAAGGTTGTAGTTTTTGGATTCTAGAAAATACTGTGTAGCTTTGAAAGTGCTTGGCAGGGGTCAGTTTGAGATAGTAGCAACTTTCCCAGAGACCATAGAAAGACTATATAGACACCCAAGGAAGTCTAAAGAGCCACTTTTCAGCCTTAGCAGAGTCAATTTTAAAAAAGGCATTGCAAGACTTAACAGACATGATGTCAGTGTATGAATAGGTCTGGGAAGAAAATTTGTAAATTGTCCAGGCACAATTGTGAAATTGTGAACTTTTGGCATTGATATTGAAAATATGACTGATCATGCCAAAAACTGTTTTTTTATTTAAGGATAGTGATCACATGAAGCCTGGTTACAATATGCCCGACCACACCATGACACACCTCAGTGGGCTTTTTTTTGTGGCATTGGCACATTAAAGCCTTCTTTCTGGCAACTCGACCATGCAGTTCATTTTTGTTCAAGTATCGTCGTATTGTGCTCCTTGAAACAACTACAACATCTTTTTCCAAAGCAGTCTGTATTTCTCCTGAGGTTACCTGTTGGTTTATCTTTATGTCCTAAACAATTATTCTGGCAGTTGTGTATGCAATCTTTCTTGGTTTACCTGACCTTGGCTTGGTATCAAGAGATCCCGGATTTTCCACTTCTTAATAAGTGATTGAACAGTACTGACTGGCATATTCAAGGTTTTGGATTTTGTTATATCCTTTTGCATCTTTACAAAGTTCCATTACCTTGTTACACAAGGCTTTTGACAGCTCTTTTCTGCTCCCCATGTCTCAGTATCTAGTCTGCTCAGTGCATCTACGTGAGAGCTAACAAACTCATTGACTGTTTATACTCAGACACTAATTGTATTTTAAAAAGTGAACAGATGTGGGAAAATGACCTTTAATTGCCATTTTAACCTGTGTGTGTCACCTTGTGTGTTTGTACCAAGGCCAAACGTTCCAGGGTATGTAAACTTTTGATCAGGGCCATTTGGGTGATTTCTGTTATCACTGTGATTATAAAAGGAGCCAAACAACTATGTGAGAATAAATGGCTTTATATGATCACTATCCTTAAATAAAATACATTTTTTTATGACTGGTCATATTTTCAATATCTTTGCCAAAATGTCACGATTTCTGCCCAGGTATGCAAACTTTTGAGCATAACTGTAGATGACAACACCCTCATAGAGGAGATCTTATAAGACTTTGTGTAGGAAGACTGCAGAGGCATTACAGAGACCAAAGGACCTTACTAGATACATGTAGTGACAAAACCTGATGGCAAGTGCAGTTTTCCATTCATCTACTTCTTTAATATGAATTAAGCTGTATGCATCTTGTAGATTTAATTTAGTAAAAACATGGGCTTTAAGTTAATATAAGAATTCTGGAATAAGGGGCAGTGATGACGTTTAGCCTGTGGTCATCTTACAAAAAAGAATCCTGCCACAACAGCAGAAGAGGATTTATGGATAAAACCGTTTTGGAGATTCTTGAAGATGTATTCTGACAGGGCTTTGGTCTCTGGGAGACTGAGGGTATGCTTGTCCTGTAGGGGGAGCAGAGCTTGGAATTAGGTCAATGGAACAATTGAGGCACATGGAGTGATAGATGAGTAAGGTGCAGGACCAATCCAGGACTGGGAAATGTAGTTAAATCTAGGAGAGGCTCAGGATAAGTGCTGAAATGGCTTGTAATAGAACAGGAGATGGCCTGGTGGTGACACACACCAACAAACATCTTTACTGGCGAAGTTCAAGAGCAGACTGATCCACAATAAAGGATAGTGCCATCTACTGGGGACATTCAAAGGGGTTGGGGAAGGGACCAAAGGAATCAGGCCAACCTTTTGACAGGGGATGCAAAACAAAGTTGCCAGCTGCTTCCAAATCTAGGAAGGTTTCCAAGGTAACAATGGAGTCGAGATGTAACTACACTGAAAAATTGATGAAAGGAGTAGTCCAGCAGGCCCATCAGGCATACTGGAAGTTGGAGTTTCTGGGGTGTGGTGGACATTGCTTACCAAAGTGTCCTTTTTGGCTATAGTAAATAAAAATGAATGGAGTGTAGGTCATTCAACCATAAACTGTAAAGTCGGGAATAATCTTGGAAGTGAATATCTATTTACATAGCCAAGGAGACCAGGTCATTAACAGTGGTGGGGCATCCAGCCAGTTTGTCTTTAAAGCACTTGGACAAACCCTAACAGAGGGTGGCAGTGAGGGCCTTGTTATGCCACACAAGTTCATCTATGACAGTTCAGAAATGAATCATGTACTGTTCTACTGAAAGATAACATTGGTGCTCAAGCTAGCTCTGCAAAGATTTTTCAAAAGAAAGAATGGGTCACAGAGTTCTCTCTTCATTTGACAGTTCAAATCGCATGACAAGTCGTACCCTATGATTAGCAATAGAACCGTTCTAATCGATTTGAAAAATAGTTTCTGCACTATTTTGAAAATTTCTGGTGTGACTTGCATTGACATCTGTGCATGAAGTTGCACAAATGTGTTACAAGTCGCACCTGAAGTTACACTGACATGCAACTTGAAAGTGGTATTCAGTGTGAAGCAGGGCTTAGGGAGAGAAAGTTGGATAGTATAGTGTACTGTGCTACTACTACTTATCACTTTCA